CAAAAACCCAGGATGGTGGCAACCCACATTGTATTTTTTTTTAAAGAGTACATCAACTCCTGTTTTTTTCATTTATTGTGGCATGAATGATAACATAAAACCAAAACATGAAAATATACAACTTATATTACACTATGTGTTATGAACAAAATATAAATCTATAACTCTATGTTATATTTACATAATTATTTCTTTTATTAAATTTCAAGTGAGATGGTAGGTTGCGCATACTTTGTTTTAAGCTCCAGGCATTTGATTGTCTCTATTTCTTTTCTATTTTCATTTCACTTGTAAAATCCAAAACATTAAGGGAGTAAGAGCTTTAGAGCCAACGGAGCTATATAAATACTGTTTCAGCAAACCAGTGACAAAAACACTGGGGAGTAGAGAAATCAGTCAGTAGAAAAAAATGAACTTGACATGTTCTTCTATCTGGGAAACTGACAAGTTAAGATAAAGTTGAAAAAATGTAAATATAAACCAAGCTAAACATCCAGCCCATGCCCTGTGAATTGAGGATACACTTGAATCCACATCCAGTGAATTACACACATTTCTTTGCAAAACTGAAGATATGATTCTATCAAGAAGTGGGCAGACAAAAATACTTCCTATCTGATAAATCATGCCCTTAAATGCACAGGTTATTATGTAGTTGCCATTCATTCCAGCAGATGAATTCTTGCTAAGTAAGGTCTACGTTTCCACGGAGTATAATTATTTTTGATGTTACAAACGTGATGTCAGAGGCTTCTTCGGGGACAATAACAGCTCATCTCTTTGGATTAAAAAGAAAAAGCTCTGAAAATGTGCTGTAAAAAGGTTAAAGACAATTTACTTTCTAAAAAATGATTTAATTAAAGAGAGAGTCTACTGCAGTAACCAAATCTTTGAAATAATGTCTTCGAAGAAAGAATTTCTTCCATATGCATTTGTAATAAGAGGATTTGGTTACAAAACTAATTAAATGCTATAATAATAGCCAGTGTTCTTTTCTGGGGGCCTGATTAATACAGCGGAACGGTTAAATAAAGATGTTAAATGCACTTAAAAATCCTATTTTACTAATATAAGGCATGAATAAATTGAAAAAGGATATACTCTGTGTTATTTAATTGAGCTTAGAAGCAAGTGTCTCAGTTTTTCTCTTCTTTTCCCCTTTTCTCCACTGCTGGTATTTTTCTGCTCTAAGCTACCGAGCACACTGACTCAAGAGGCTCCCCAATGTCAGACGAGAGCGAGGCCGCTACAACAGAATGGCCTCCACACGCGTGTCGGTTAATACAAGCCTAACCTCTTCTAACCTGGTTTGCCTACATGCTCTAGGGCACAGAACCCAGGAAAAAAAAAAAAGAAAAAAAAAAAGAAACAAGACAAGAAGGTCTATTTTTATGCGTTCTGCTATTATTTTGTTTGTTTGTTTGTTTCTGATAAATGAAAGGGGGACAAACAGGGCCTCATCTTCAAATCTGGTCTTCTACTTGAAGGATATATGGGCGCTCAACTTTGGCCCAACACAACCTTAGCACAGGCACAAGTGTTTTGCTGGTTTGGGACCCCAGAGCCTTTTTTGTTTGTTTGTTTTCTTTTTTTCATTTTATCATTGCTGCATCAGGCTCAGTATTGAAACGCAGGTGGCAGACAGGTCGCTCCAGCTACCTCTTCAACCAGCCTGACCAAACGCAGGCTCAAGCACAGTCCCTCAGACAGAAATATGCAGATGACAAAACCAGCATTGGCCCGAGCCTTAGCCCAGGCCTACACAGTGAGCAGCAAGCACAGAACTCATTCTGCTGCCCTGACACCAGCCTTGCTCCAGCACCGGACCGAGAAGGGGCTACCTCCAGAGCATCTCCAGAGCATCTCCTGCAGCACTGCCCATAGTCAGGGGCTGAAATTTGGCCTGGCTGAAGTGAAGGGACCTTTGTCCCATAGACTTCACCAAGGCTGGCTTTCTAACCCACACATCCAAGGCTTGCTCCAGTCATGCTTGCTGCAGTGGCACCTACCTGGAGCTAAAACAAAGTATTCTGGTAGCCCAACGTTACACCATTAAACCAGAGAGTCTCTATAGCGTGGTAGAAATTAAGCATCCAGCAAATGTGAGGTGAACCCACAAGAGTCAGAAGTAATTTGTTCACAAAGACAGGGAACAAATTTAAAAGTTAAAAAAAAAACAAAAAAACAAACAAAACAAACAAAAAAAAAGGAGCAAATATCTGTTTTCACATTGTACATAATGATGATATAAAAACAATTGCCTATTTTTTTTTTTTTTAACTTCTTATCTAAACAGAGTGCTTCAAAAAAATTGGCTCTAGATGACTGGTGTAATTAAATAACTAAAATGAGTGATGAGAGAGCAGAAGTTAATTAAGATTGAAAACAACACTCCCATTAATTCACTCCATCATAATAAACATCAGAAGTTGACATGGCTGGGGCCAAAATTAAAATAACAGAAAGAGGAATGGTGTGAGCAGAAGAAGAAGCTATTTGTTTTCATATGTATATATATATATTTATATATATATAAAAAGGCAAGGTGGGGAGGGGTATCCATTTTAAATAGCCTAACAGCTTCATTTGCTGCACTGCCAAATTAGAACAGAATAAAATAAAGTTAAAAAAGGAGGGGGGGAAATAAAATAAATTATACATAATTTACTAATCTGGGAACAGCTGACCATTAATATTATTATTATAATTACCATTACAACACTAGCAAGAAGAGGCAGTTTAACTGAAAAAAAAACCAAAACAACCAACCAAAAAAAAACAACCAACCAACCAACCGAAAAAAAAAGCAGTCATAAAACACAAACAAAAGGAACCCTCTCTGACATGGAGGATATGATCAGCTACTCCTAGCATAACTTCAGAGCAAATCTTCTGAGAGAGAGAAAATAGAAAAGAATTTTTGTGAGGCAGAGGTGGACATCAAAAAGGGAAAACAAGGAGAAAAACAAAACAGATGTTGCTGGGTAGAAGTATCACACATCCAAACTGCTCGTTGGAGTACTCGCCTACTCTTCAATGACATTTGCTTGTTTGCTTTGTGCAAGGTCTGCACAGCTCAAGTTACACTTCAAGTGGTGATCTAGCAGAAAAGACCCCACATCGTCCTCCCCAGCCCCTCCTGCTGCCTGCCACTTCTGCCCTGCATATGGATTAAATGGCTGCTACCATGAGGTCGAAATTCATGTCGTGAAGGTAAATTTGTAAAATCAGCATTGCCAAGTACTGAACATGTTGGTTCTGGCAAACCCTCGGGCTGAGATCTGGCTGGTACTAAGATTCACAGGGCTGTTTCCACAAGCCTACAGGAATGCTAGCAACGAGCCTCCAGTTTACCAGTGAGCAATAAGAAGGTGGTATTAGAAAACTGACCCAGAAGAAGACTCTTTTTCTCTGTATGACCCTGGGAATTTGCAGATCTACTGGACAGCTGCTGCTTGAAACCAAGAGGTAGCCTTTTTGGTTGGTTGATCGGTTTAGAACTAATGCTTCTGTTTTGCTACATGAACATGGATGCTCTCTTTCTAGTGGAAGATGAAAGCGCAGAGATGAAAAGAGATTCTGTAACTCAGTTGTATTTATGCTATTCTTCCAAAATAAAGCAGAATACTCAGTTACCTTGTTGAAATTACAACAGGCTAATATATGCTGAGCATTACATTTGTGTAAATCCACCTTCTTTGCCCTGACTGCTGTTGTCCAAGGAAGGCAAAGCTGCACAACATACCTAGGGGCTCTAGGATGACGCTGGAACTGGGAGACAATTTTTCACCTGTGAGAGGCAGCATCTAGAGAAAATCAGCACCATAAAGGTTTGGGTTCTCTGTTCTCAACTTTGAAAACAAAAATCTCTCTGTAACTATTAGTCTTTCTTCCTACAAAAACATCCCACTGATAAAAATGGATTTCTTCAGGTACAAAGGAGGAAAAAAATGCCAATTAAAGAAAACAAAAACACAACACAATCAATTGCCTTTTGAATCAGAGATCAGTACTCAGCAGCCCTGTAAGTATGAGTTCGTTAACACTGGACATCATGGTAGTCTAATTACACTCAGTGAGAAGTTAACATCTCCAGCTGCCCTGTCGTGTGTTGGACAAATCCTATTTTGAACAATCCTTTCTTTATGTCCTACATGCTGCCACTTGAAGTGTAAATGAAAAGCAAAAGCTCCTTGCAAACCAAGTCCTTTGGAGAGTGTGGGATTTCATTCTGGAACATGCTTTTTGCTCACAATAGTCCAATATTATTCTTATTAGTACCATAAACACGCACACATGAAAATCCAAGATCATAAAATATTTTTTCTCTAAATTTCTTATGCTCTCTCTCTCTCTTTCTCTCTTTTTTCACCTGAGAATGGCACCTACAGTTTCCTTTAAAAAGCAAAAGCAAAACCAAAAATATAAATCTAATCTCACCAGCTGCTGGTATATCAGGTTCTTTAAGGGATTGTCTAAGATACAACACTGTCCTAACTTGAGATAGAGCGGAAAGAGATAGGAAACCCAAAGAAAAACAGAAACAGAGACCAACCAAAAAAATAAGCAAATTGGACTAGTTCAGCGCTGTAGTACAAATTTGGCACTTGCTCAAAGACTCAGTATGATGTGCAACTGATGAAGAGAAGTTCTCTCTTGAAAGGAAATAATTGCTTGTTGGGGTTAACAGAAACAGGCTCCCCACTTCCTTCCTTGCCAGCCACGCGTACACACACACGCACACACGCTTCAGACCCAAACGTGCCAGGGAGGAGGAGAAGGAGGTGACAGAAGGGGAAAAAGGAATTTTATCTTTTTCTTCTTTCCTGTCAGGTGCATTACCAAAAAAAAAAAAAAAAAAAAAAAAAAAAAAAGAAAAAGAAAAGAAAAAGAAAAAAAAAAAGAATTATTTCTCTTTAAACTGTAGCACAAAACAACAAAACACATTCACAAGCCACTTGTTGGCACTGTGTACCTGAGTGAGAATTTCTAGAACATTGTAGAACAAACAGCCATAAAGTTTATTTGAAAAAAAAATAATAATAATAAAAGGTCGACGGGTAAGACTTCAGTGCTTGGGTATAGCAGCTGAATTACTGGCATTATTTTACCCATAGCTTATATTATTCTGTTGTTGTTGTCGTTGTCTTTGTTTCCTTTCTTCTGAGCCTTTTTTCTTCTGATGCAGGCTGATGTCTATTAGTCAGCTGATGTCCCAACTAGTTAAGACTAACAGTTAAAGTAACAGTCAGTGTATGAGAAAGTTAATGTGCTTGGCCACTGGTAAGGATAAACCAGATGGGGCTTTATTTATTTTTTCTTTTCTCCTTGAAGTCCTGCAGGTCATGTGATATTTGGACCCTGATCAGTTGGCTTGCCCCGCAATGTGATTTTCACTGTCACTGCCATAGTCCACATCGGGGTCATCCTCTTCCTCATCATACTCATCATAGATTTCTCCATTGACGTCATCGGTCTGCATCTCTTCCTTGATATGGGGCTCCTCACCTTTGATGCCGTAAGTGCTCTGGATGACGGGCATCCCGGGCTCGGGGCTGCTGGACACACTTGAGTGCTCTGAGGGCAGGTGTGGGGAAGGCATTCCTGCCATGGCGATGGCTCCTGGGTAAACGACACCTGCGGTGGCAATGGGAATCTGTGCTTGTTGCCTGCAATGGAGAAGAAGGAAGAGGAAGTCTGAATACTGGAAGAAGCAGAGAGAGAGCATGTATGACAGCGCTTGGCAAACACATTAGCATGTGCTCTTGGGCATTCAGAGGGCATTCAACTTCACTGCTAAGGAAATTTAACTTTTGTGAACTTCTGCAGTTGCACCTGAACCACACAGCTTCAGCATGCCTGCCTGTGATGCAAATTTCTTTATTGAGCTGCCAGAAAGAAGCAAGCACGCTTTTAATCATGGACTACCTCAAAAAACACGTACTTTGAAAATGTTCTTAAACAATCCCAAGCGGCTGAAAGGACTGGAAATAAAAATTTGCTAACAGGAGAAATGAAGCTAAAGCTGGGTAGCCTGCAAAGCAAAGGGAACTAACACTGGAAGAGGAGAAAGCAAAGGCCTCTCGGTGAGAGTACTCTATGCTAACACATGGACCTGGCCCTTATTAAGGAGAAGGGCAGTGGGCATTCCAGGGCCAATATGGGCTTACAGGATGATCGCTAACGGCCTCCCTTTGAAAGGTGACAGTTTCCAAAGTGAGTGACACTGGTGAAAAACAGAAACTTTGAAGCAGGGTGGATAAAACTGGGAAAAGCCAGACTTGAAGTGGAAGCATGCATTATTTAAAAATAAATAAAAAGCAAGAGAGCAACATGAGCATTTGAGCAAATCCTCTATAAGATGCCTTTATATAGCATCTAAGCCTTGGAAACCTGTCTGCAGCAATGAAAGACGAATTATTCCAGGCCACAGAAATTCCCTTTGCAGCAAGAACACTAGCTGTGATATACCAGTGTTTGTTTCCCTGAGAAGCTTCAGGGTCCCAACAAGCCTAGAGGTTTAAAATTCATGCTCCTTTTGTTTCCTTGCTGCATGAAGTAATTCCATTGCAGTAATACTCTTCAGTACATGCTGCACATTGTAATGTCATCAGCGGTGTGTCCATCTGTACTGAAAAGCCTTGCCACAGGAGACAGGGCAGAGTCTCTTGAGATGAACATTCGTAATTAAGAATGAAACCTTTCCCTGTTCCCCTGCCTGGCTGTGCCCAGGCTGTACAGTAAGCCCTGCACAGTACAGTGATCCTGAAAGACTCTCCTCAGCCAAAGAGCTTTACATTTGTTTGGAATTGCTAGCTGTGTTTTCAGTTACTTTCTGCCTGCCATTCAAGCAAGGCCGCTGTCAGTACAATTGTTATTTCCCTGTTGCTGAAACAAGTTTAAGTTGTCTCAGCTGAAGACACAGCTCTTAAAGAAGGTAGCGGATCTAATTTGCATTTTATTCCTAATTCAATAGGAAGGCTTTGTTTTCTGGAGTCAGCATTTCTCTAACAAGATTCAGCACACTTAAATTGCTTTTAATATTTAACAATAGGAATACTTCGCACGTAAATGACGCTTTTCAGAGTGCTTTCCAAATATTAAATAATTTAAGAATAGCATTTTTCCACTTCTATAGGATGTCCACTCTGGAGGATGAGGTGAGTTTACCACACCACCATTAAAGATGAGGTCATTAAGACATGAAAGCATTAAGTACTAGAGTTGCAAAAAATGCTCAGTCCTTCCCATTGTGCTGTTTTCAGGCAGGTTTTCAGGATGCCCCAGCAGCTTGCACAGTGAGAGCTCTTAAAAAAACCCCATCACTTATTTTTGGGCGCAATTAGGAGTTGTATTTGTGTTCAGCCCCAAATGACCTGCACAGGGCGATGCAGCAGATTAGGAACCAAAACCAGGAATTCAGCTGCAGTGCTGGGACTCCCAGCATAAAACACTGACCCCACTGCGCTCACTGGCCGCTTCGTCAGTAGCTCCTACAGAGATTTCACCCCAGATTCTGTGCTCTAATTGCCTCACTACAAATTATCTACAGAAATGTCTTGATTTCAATGTCAGCCTTGTTTGGAAAGCTAAATAATATGCAGAGCGTTACAAGGTTAATTTTTTTCCCATGATGAAGCATGCATGTTAACCAGATAAGCAGTGTTTTGGGGGCTCTGCTGCACCTATTCTTTTTCCAGAAAGCACCCCTCCTCTTTTTTTAATCTCTTGATGCCAAATGTTGGCTGACTTCCCTGTGTTTGTTTCAGTGCTTACCATTGGGATCACTGGACCTGCCAGCACCACAGGGTTAAGCAGCTCAAATTTCTCTGCTGAGCGGCTTATTATAACAATGCACACTGTAGCTGTTTAAAACACAGTCTGATGACACTTAACAGTTGCTGGACAGATATTCTCTCCTTTATTGCTACTTCTAGTCATTAACTAGGGAGATGTGCAACTCGGCTCAGTTAATACGTTTCCAAATTCAGCCTGAGATGAAACAGAACATAAATTCCATTATTTGCGAGGCTTGTTTTGTTTTGGTGCTTTTCCTTTTTTTAAAAAAAAAATTTAAAAATTATTTTTTTTTTTTACCAATTACTGGAGCGATTACAGAAATATTACAGAACATTTTTGATTCTTTTAATCTGCTTTAACCAAAACTAAGGAGCATTTGCAGAAGGAAAAGACGTGAGTTTTGCAGACAGATCTCAGCCTGATCATATCGAGCCGATCAAACTGATCTATTAAGTGTTTATCAAAACCAATCTTCTTGAAATTTATACTCAGCATAAAGCATTTAGCTTATTGAATTGGAAGACATCTACTTCCTACTCTGATACATGCCATCGTGATGGACAATGGATGCAACTTCATGCCTGATACGAATTAAGTGAGCCAAGTCTGTATTCCAGCTGAAGTTCAATATGTTCAGCAGTCCTTTTACAGACCACTTGCCACAGATCATACTGAATGCAAACTAGTATTTTTGGCTTTTGGATCAACAGGCAGTACCACTGATTTATTCAGATACAACCTCTGAGGCCCCATAATAATGTAACATTTACAAGATTTTATTAGAAAACTTACATTTCATTGGAAACTCTTAAGCTTTTTTTTTTCTTTCTTTCTTTTTCTTTTGCATGATCGGAGTGGAAATGAGACAGTTGGCTGAAGCTGTGAGATGAACATATAGCAGAGCCAACAAAAAATCCCTAGCTGCCTAACTTCCTCCTGGAACGCACTGTTTGAAAGTATAAGCTTCACATTCCGTTAGCAATATATAATGTTCTTGCCAATAAAATATATCATTTACTACAGTGAATTAAGAATTCTCCCTGAAAATGTGTTTTTTTTTTTTTTTTTAATGAAATGAATGGTAGTTTTTAAAGGTCCCATACCCAACATTAAAATACTGCCTCATCTCCTGACGTCTGTTGCGCATGATAGCCTTGTACTCGCCAATGCGTAGTTTTTTGCCATCTACAAGGCAGGTACGCTTCGGCCTTGGCTTGTATTTGTAGTCTGGGTATTTCTCCAGGTGCTGTTTGCTGAGTCGGGCCTGTTCCTCGTAGTATGGCTGCTTCTCTAGGTTTGTCATAGCTTTCCAGCGAGATCCTGTCACCAAAAAAAAAACAAGAAATGAGGTTCTGCTCACTCACAAGCACTGAAAGGCAGAGAAGCAAGTAGGTCACTTGGAACAAGATACCGACGGTCATATCGCTTTGGGCTGGGAATCTGTCAGAGCTTCCAGACAAGGGTCAGGTCTTGTTTGCATTTCACTTGTAAACCTCTTGAGTATGGCCATGAGGCAGAGAGAGATGATACCGGAAGCTTTCACTATTTTATGGAAACTTTTCTCTATTATTATAGGGTTTTTTTTCAGGTAATCAATAAAAGCATCAGATAATGAGCAATCCATGACACTTACTAGAAAACTGAGGAGCACTGTATGTTGGTGAACTGTGAGAAACCCCTTAGGTATGTCAAGTCTGCTCTGCTAAGAGCTTCCTTTGACAACAGCTTTCCCCTCCTCTAACAGGGGAGGCAGCATTCCCAGATGCTGTGATTTGATTGCCATGCTGCACTATGGCTGGATCTACTCTGGATACTTACATGTCTAACAGCTCAGTCTTTCATAACAAATAACATCTTTCTAGCTACTACGTTTGTGAAAAGCAGAATCAGAATTGATCATAAATAGTATGCTGCTGGGCACAAGAACCTGCAAAGACCCTGAAGCAATGCCTTTAACAGCTATAAGCTATCCCATATGTCTCAGCAGGGTGTTAACTCCAAGACCAAGTCCCGGTGAACACTGTCAGCTCTAACTTAACAAAGAATTTAGTATGTGTCATGAAGGGAAGAGCACTGGGATACTGGAACACCTCTCCACAGAGCTGCACTACGGCTTGATTGCTGGCAGCCCAGTTTCTGACATTCTGCCTATGCTAATGTGGATATTTGAGCTACGGAAATAATGAAGACTGAATAATTTTTTTAGAATACCTCCTGAAAATTACAAACTAATATTGCTTAAAAGACATAGTATGGGAACAGAAAGTAAAATTTCTTGAGTTAGCTATCCTATTTTATTTTTCCATGGACTACAGAAGTGCTTCAGGGTAAGATACATTTCAAAGAACAGGAACGGTCCAAGCTGTGAAACATGTGGCACAGAAGGAAAATTTTACTGGAAAATAGACCACTTTCCTGTTGGGGGGAAAAAAAAGTTTGAATAGTTTCTTGATTTAATGGGTCTACAATGTCATATGTCATATTGACTTCCTCTTGTTCTTCACTTCTCATGGTTATTCATACTGCACTTAGCTCATGCTCTTAGTCAGGTCTGTCTTAGCTCACTGTGCCCCCAAGACTCTCAATATAGAGAGCACAACTATCCCTTCCAATGGAAGAAGACAGTTTGGTTCCCTCTGGAAAGCCCCCTTCAGACCACCGACACACCATTTTCCCCATCAATCTTTGAATCTTTATTTCAAGCTGCTGTTTGAGCTTAAGTATTTCAAGCTGCCTTGACTAAAGGCCTGGCAGTCTGGCAGTGACCCAGGCTGGCATCACACCTGGTGACAAGCAGTGGGAAATCATGGCGTATTTGTTTGGAGGAGGAGCAGTGGATAGTCCTTTCTTAACAAACATTCCAGTGGAGTAAAAAATGTCAGGTTTTTTACATAAAAGACACAGAGATTCCCCAGCTAGTTCTGGAATGAGAGACAGTTCACTGTTTCAGCTAACTGTTAGTAGCTTATGATCTTTAAGATCCCTTCCAAACCAAACCATTCTATGTTTCTGTGGTTCCATCTGAATATGCGAGTAGATGGTTTCTAGGATTTGATCTGAAATTGCTACATGGCACTTGTATGCCACACAAATCCAGAAGCTCAGTATGAACATCCCTGACACGGCACTGTGTTATATGGGGCAGCCAAACTGCCTACAGAATCATGGTCAGCAGCTTTGTCTCCTGCAGAGAAATTATCCCATGTTTTTTCTGGCAGAGGAAGTAACTAGAAAAAGTGACACCAACTTTCCACTCATAGTGCCTCTTAGATTTTGGACTAAATGACACAGTGATAAACATGTGGAGACTGCCAAAACACTGAAATGCTGGTTTAGCGCATGAGATGGAAGTATAGATAGGAGTGAATGATGTCAAAAATTAAGGGCAAAGCTTACATAGCTCTTATAGGAAGAGGTCCACTTTGAAATTCTGCCTCTTGGACATCTGCAAACTGGCTTCTTAGCATATGAAGAAAATAATGAATTTTAGTAACGCCCTCTAACCATGAACATGCCGCAGCCCTGGTGCCTTAAAAAAAAAACTCCAGCCCCAGTTCCTGTCGATGAAACAGTTTTTATTTATGAATAACAAAGCTAAAAACCTCACAGATCTTAAACAAATCTTGACATTCGCTTTACGTGCTGTGAGGGGACCTGCAGCTCAGGGGCTGATTAATAGTCAGGTGTATTTTGAGACTGACGTAGAGAAAGATAGAAATTAAAATCAGTAGTTGCTAAATTGTAGTGATTTCTTTTTCTGTGCAGGCATAATTCTTTTTTCACTGTGCTATCTCACTGCAATCCTACACTCAGACCTGAGCAGACAGATTCCTACCCCTCACGTGAAAAGTTCTGTAAATACTGGGTGCAGTTAGGCAAACACATAAGTCTTTGCAGGATCGGGGCCATAAAAATTGAAATTTTGATGCATAATATTTGTACATGCAGTTACACATACAATATTTATACATAAATGTCACTCATTATGTTTTTCCTTCCTAAGCTGTAAACTCAATACAACAAAAATCCTGGCAGTCTCACCTCTCTTCCTAGCAAATTTTTAATAGCTGCTTTCTGCAGGGATATCTCCTCTTACTCTGATTTTATTGTTTTTACAGAACACATTTAATATCATTTACTAGTGTGTTTTGAAGTATCATAAATAATTAAACAAACAGCGATGTCAAAATAAATGTGATAATGGGCATATTTTCTGATTATAAACTCCAGGTTTTTACATTCAAGCATTTTCACTTGTTTCCTTGCTAATATGCAACATCCAAGCAGCTCTCTAACTGGTCTTAATGAAACTTTTGAAATTCTGAACAATCTATTACTCTGAGCCTTGCACTTGTAGGCTAAGGTATGAATAAGGATCATCAATCAGCACGCTAAACTGGTTGATAGTACCTGGTGTTTGAACAAAATATATCTGTAATACATTTATCTGCAGTTTTTTATATGTCAATAAACACACACATGCAGGCACAGGAACCTATGCCAAGTGCCAGCCCAAGCCCAGATAAGGTGTAACTGAAGAATCTGGAAAAAATGTTTCTTTTTAAGGGAAGATTTACACTCGTTGGTGAGCTTTCTGCTCACCATCTGTGTTGGAAAGCTCCGAGTGGGTCAAGTATGCAAGGCTTTTCTCTGTGAGTATGAAAACAAGAGCCCGTCCTCTCCCCACACACATACATAACGACGGGTAGGACTCTCACACAGCACTCCCCGATCTGGTGCCTGAAGTGTTTAGAAAATAAACGACAAAATCACTAGACTTTGCAGCACCAGCACAAGCTAGGGCAGTTCAGAGCTGTGCCCACGTGAGGCATTTCTGGTGACAGTGAGGACAGCCAGCCAGCTGAACAGGGATCGGCAGTAGAGACAGACAGACACCCATCTCTGCACACGTGCCTGTATTTCAGTGGGGCTCATAGCTCTGCTGACTGCCAATTTCAAGCCAAATTTCTCCACTGAGAATTTTCAGCTGCTTGTAACACTGCCTAACTTTAAGTCTATGGGACTGACATCTTTCAATCTGGGTATCTGCAGCAGGCTGATTTTACATTTAAAAAATACAGGTATACACACAAGCACGTATACAATGCATACGTATGCATTATAGGTATGCATATATGTCTGCATTCACACACATGAACATCCATGAAAAGATTTCTGAAGGTAATAATTTCCTTCAAATCTCCTTACGTAAATTTCTCAGTGAAATTAATTAAAATATTTACAGAAATATCTAAACAATGCATTATTAAATTGATAGGGTTCAGCAGACTGTTTTAGCACTTCTTTTCAACAATTTACTAAAAAAAAATCATTATCCACAAGTTTAAGTTGCAATGAACAGATGGATGACAAACGTATGTACAGATTAATTTAGTGACAAATCCATGTATCTAATTTTTATGCTCAAAACATAATACCACAGTGTCAAACATAATCCCCAGAGAATGCAAGTGCTGGGAAGGGCTTCTCCTCTCATTTTACTATAAAAATGACCCTGGATGGGTGAGAACCCATCTAAGCCATTCGTGGTGACAGCAAGCTCTCTGACCTCAACGGCAACAGCACTGCTTAAAAAATGGCAAGGAAAAATGGCAGAGTTCTAATAAAGAGCCCCTAGTACTTGTCTGAACTGTAAGTTTCTGTCTGCTCACCCTACGCTAGTTAACAGAGAGCTCCCTGCTGACTTCAAAAGACTGGCCTTTTGCAATTGAGGGAAGACCTTTGCAACATTCCTGCCAGGGAAGAAGGCATTGGGCATCCCTCTTTATTGCAGAGGAGGAATAAAAAAAAAAAAAAATCAAACAGTGATGCTGGAAGGAAATAGAAACATCATTTCTTCCTACTTTAAACCTTGCTTTTCCCCATATCTGACAGCGAAACAGTAAAGAGTTTGGAGTCAGCTATACTGTCTGTCACCTCAACAGGATCTGTAATGAATTTGCACATTTTACTCCAACTACTGTATATCTAATCAGAAAAAGATGTCCCCATATCTCCCTGATCTAGCGCCAAATAGTAAAAGGTGATTCCTTATGTTAACAATTTCAGCAGAATGGCTTATTAAAACCAGATTTTAGGGTATTATAAAATGCTTAGAAGCCCTTTAAAATGTCAACCAGGATCCCCAGAGACTGCGTAAAATGTCAGCCCAGCTCAAACGCCTGTTTTAAGCAGAATGAATTAGCAGCGTGCTGTCGGAGGTTGTTATCCAAAACAATCAGTTAAGAGGGAAAACATCAAGCTCTCTTTGTACTTTCTATATGAAAAGGGTCATTCAGAATGATCTTGTAGATTTCTGAAGCTGATTATTTAAAAACAGGTTTAACCAGGCCCTCTCTCAATTTAGAAACAGACCAAAACCATTACTGCTCTGTTCTCAGCCTAATCACATCATACACCTGTAACCAGTATAATCCCTTTTAACCAGTATATGGCTATTTTAACATCAACATAAACAATTTCCCCTTCAAATTCTGCTCCTAAAACTAATCTAATCATCGTGTACTACCCTTTTAATCATGGGTTAATTTCATCATGTCTGTCATCCACAGCCAATGCATTCTGCCTCTCCAAGCAATTTTATCTAATTTCCACTTGCATTCTGCTAACTTCTTACAACACCACCCTAATCAAGCTGAATATCAAATCTTTGACCAGACTAAGCTCAGCATATTTACCAGCCCTGCACCTGGTTAATGGTGCCATTACCATCACGTTCATGTCTCTTGTCTGCCAAACCAGCCAGACATGTAGCCCAGTTAATCAAGGTCCCTGGTTAAGCTTTTACCCACTGGCAGGACGTATGCTTAGATTCTGTAACACAGTTTATATCAGTAAAAACGCACCATCTCTGAGTTGGTCACATATATTTATTTTTTTCTGCAGAAGAGTAATTCACTGGCCTCATAAATCTCCATTTATTCACCTTCTGTATCATTCAGTGTCTCAAACAGGAGTAACTTCAGACAGAATATAGTCCTGGGAATTTAAGTAAGAACTGAAAAATTTGAAGACTATGGCATGAAATTTGGTAGGTGATGCTCATGACAAATATTGCTTGGGATATGAAGACTAGAGGATATGGAAATTAATTCTGATATTTCTTTTTAGATTTCAGAATTCTTCTCAGAATATTTAGAATAAAAGCAGCTTGCGGTAGAGATTGTGCACTAAGTGAAAATTTAATGTAACAGGAACAAAACAAGAATAATTTAAAACTTAGGGTATAAAATAAAAGGATGTATTTTAGGATCTTTTCCCTGTGTCCACTGCTTTGAACAGACAGCGCTAAGGCATAAATCAAATAGTGTGGTGTGCTTCTAGTTAGATGAAATACATGGGCAAATACATTATAGCAGTCATTCTGTGCTTGTTCAACAGCTTAATAAAATGAATCCTTTACTTCACATTTTTGCACCAAAATCCACACCACAACCTGAGTAATTACAAAGATACAAGAGCACTTCAGCACTTACGATCAATATATAGCACTGGGCAGCATGGTGGCAGTTTGTATAGCTGCTGTCCTTGATGCAGTACCCAAGAAGCTAAACAGACAACCTAAAGATAGTTATTCAGTTGTGTCAGGTGCCCCGCTTTATTCCATCAAAAGTGCTGAGTTCTGTGACAAGAAAAATAAATGATGTCAAACGTACCTAGTATCTTGCTGATATTGGAGTTGTGCATGTCAGGGAAGGCTTGAAGGATCTTCCTCCGTTCATCTTTAGCCCACACCATGAATGCATTCATTGGGCGCTTGATATGGGGCTCATTACTGCCACGCCCTCTGGATTCCCGATAAATTCTTGATTCTGAAACTCCTGCACTTCCTAAAAAGAGAAAGAAAATCACTCCCAACTTGTGTTTCATTATACGGCTGCTTCTGCCATGAGTAGCCTAAGTGAAGTGCTGCACATTAAATGAGTCAATGTTCTCAATGCTGTTTCTTTTACTTGAAGAGGTAGGAAATACCATATAGTGTATAATGTCTAATTTTTAGTTCTTCTATTGACTCAGCATCACATAACACAGACTTGATGAAGCATTCCATTTTTGTCAACATAAAGCATTAGACTGCTTTTTGAAAACATCTTTTACCACTTAATAACTTAAAATCAACACTTATCAGTGTAGATTTTCTTTTTACTTTCTTCCTTTCTTGTTTATAGAATGTGATGTCAATGGTGTGATATAAAGCAACATCAGGTATTTCCTCTTAATCAAGCTTCTGGCTACCAAGTGGACATTTGAACATCTGTTTTAATGCCTACTTCTCCGTAACAACACAAGCAATGGCAGAGAAAGAAAAGAACATTAAGATTGCTTCATCAAACCCAGACAAGTTCCTACTGAGGCAGAGTGTGCACCATCTGAAGATGACCAGGTCCATAATTCACGGACTTCCTGTGTGATCTCATCCCACACCTAATTGCTTCTTTAATTCATTTTCACCATCAGAAATGCATTTTTGTTTCCTCCCTGAGATGTAGAGCATAGAAAAGAGAAGGCTAAAAATCAACTCCACAGACTTAAAATGCCGGAAGATGAATCATTTTTTCCTGCCTAACCACATATCAGTAACCCCTCACAGACCTCTCAAACACTCGGACTGTCCTCCAGATGTCCTCCAGACAAAGATACATATACACAACACTAGAAACAAGGAGAAGCCATTTGTACTGACCATCAGAATCTCCACTCATGTTGAAATCCATCATTGCGTGGCTAAACTTCCCGTCTTCACTCTGTTTTACTGCCAGTTGCTGAGTCAGGGTCTCCAGTGTCGTTTTGTCCTACATGGGGAAGATGCCAGGATTTGCATCAGGAAAACCATTAAATACTGTAAATGCAAAGCTTGCGGGTAATTTAAAGGGCTGATAGAGAAGATGTGTAACAATTAATTCACAACAGTTTACTGAGTCAGTTATTAAAAAATACATAATATTATTTTTTTTGGAAGCAGTACAGTTGCAGACTCTCAAGTCTTTTTTAAAACATGCTTATTATCTAGTGATGAGCTAAGTCCACAGTGTTGAAAAGATTACTTTAGTTGAGCATAATAAAACTGGATGCACATCTGAAGAATACTTCAATTCCCTGTGTCCCTGGGACAGCATAGCTGGACTGGAAGTTTAGATGATACACGCTCTTGCTCAATATAATAATTGCTTTACTCTACTTCCCGCCTGAACTCATAGTGCAGAGACATGGGCAACTTTGCCCTTTTTTCTGTCTTAAAAGGCAGTGTTTTGAGAAGCAGACACAGGGGAAAAAAGGGAAAGCTTTAGATTGAACTTATTCAGGCCTTAGGAAAGGATCAGCCTGGACTGATACGATACTTGGGCAGTGGTTTGCGTTCCTGTCTGGACTGTTTACCCAACCTTCCTAACAGCCCGTCCGTCATTCACATACTCAGAACTATCTGTGAACCCAGGATTGCAACAGGCTAGTGTGTGCTGCCAATTAATCTGTCAGGTTGCAGCGGTGTCTACAGACATTGCCAGAACAAGATGCCAGGGCAATTAATTCCAATGTTCTCTTCGAAATATCTCTCTTCCTTCTGAATTGTTGGACTTTGCAAATACAAAGGTGTTCCATTTTCCAATTGTTTTTGTTTTCCCTGTGCATATTACTCATAAACATTCTATCTTCCTGACAATCATATGTTTAAAAATAAATCTTTCAGGAAAGCAATACTAACATTTCAAAATGTTAGGCACTCTGCCTTTTGCGAAGCTAGGAAAATGACACGATGCTGAATTATAATAAAGTGGCTCCAGTTGAAAAAAAATCTTTTGAGCGTCTTCCTGAAAGAAAGATTGCTGTTTTGTTGATCTGTTCCACACTCAAAGACTGTAAAAGATCAACAAACTAAAAAACTCTCAGATTTCACATGGCAACCAGAGACTTTACAATTATTCTGTGTAGCCTAATAATGTCACTGGATTGTATTATAGAAGAAAACAGAAAAGAGAACAATATGAATACAGAAATGTTTCCCTCAATGTGATGTCCCCGCATCTGCAATTCAAAGAACAGTTCAAATTCACATAAGTCATTTTCCCATTTCAAGATTTTCTTGAGAGATTTAGAAATGAAGCTAATCTGCTCAACTGGGTACACTCACACTTTAGGGAACGTTAGGTTAAATTTCTCTTCCCTATCATTCACTTTCATTATGAATCACTTCTGTGCCCTATCCATAACCAGATGTATCACCACTGAAAACAATGCAAGATGGATTATCGTCTTGGGTTTTGCAGGAAAACCCCATGTGGCTGAGCCAGTCTACCACAAGCAAGCGGGGGTTCTGCAACACTTCCTAGGCACAACAGATCCCAAAAGCTTGGAGAGCTTGAATAAGCGCTTGAACTTTTCCAGTACTTAGCATTACCAAACTCTTTGGTTTGCTGGTTTTAACTTAGCTCTCATGTCCAAAGCAGCCTGCATGCAGATAAAATATCAGGAATAAGTTGACTATCTCATCCAAACGGTTCTATGATGCACATGAACAGTTTTTCCTCAAAAAAAAAAACCAAAAAAAAACCCCACCAATTTATCATCAAAATCATAATGATGGAGTTCACAAATGTGTATTTTAGTTATCATTTAAAAATGCTGCCACCAGTCTCAGATGTAAAAGAACATTTCCTCTTGTTTGGTACACCAGTGGGGAAGGGAGCCATTCTGTTGCAGATTTTTTCTTGAATGATGTATAAACCTCTTAGAGAAACAGAGCTGAGAGCGCAAAGGGCACAGACTTAACAGCTCTTTATGCAGTAAGCGCAGCTGTTGAAGTTGGAGGCAGCCACATTCAGAACCGCACTCTCCCTACATGATCTGATTGAGTCTTAAGGTCAGCAAATACTCCGGCATGCTGTCTGCAAGGTACACACTGGGTACTGCTCGTTTATCAGAGTTTGACTTAACAAGCCTACAGATGCTCCACTGCTATCCATCTTGTGCTAAGTTTGCATTCTGAGGTACAGCCACATCCGATGAAGTGTGTGAGGGAGGGCATGATGGAAGAGGAGAAGGGCAGGGATGCCATTTGGTGCTGCTGCACTACTGGGCTGCTGCACTTGGAGGTGCTCTCCAGGCATCTGGAATAGAGAAGCAGGGAGCTCACCTTCTCAGCACGGTTCCAATTTACTCCTTGCTCCTTAAATATATAATATGATAACGTATTCAATCCCTAACTGCAAGCTTGCAGATAAAAAGAACTTCTGCATGATGTTGCTCTTGAAATGGAGGACGCTGAAACAGCTAGCTGCACTCTTCTGCGTTAATGTTTAAAAAGGTTGAAGTTCAAAAAAAAAAAATCAAGCAAAGATAAATATAAGGCCTGCTCTTTTCTAAACCTCTGCAACAACATCAGAAGAACAGAAAGACAGCAGTGATGCTCTGTAAGGATGCAAAAGCCCAGCTAATGTGAGTAGTGTGCTCATTTCCTGGCCTATGCTCTTCCTACAAAATACACTGCACTTGATTTTGCCCAATCCCAACATATAAAAGCACTTTTAAAATTACAAAATATCTGAAAGGGGCCAAGTGACATTCCCATGTTGTTTTGTTTCTAAGTGCTCAGTTGATAGGTTACTACTTCCAGTTTGATAGAAGCATCTCACCAGTTTTCTACAGAGCCTTTCAGTTCATGGAAGAAGTACTCATGGAAGCTCCAAAGTAACAAAAGATCCAAAGATCACAAATAAAATGGCAACCTGTTGGCAATTCTGGCACGGTCTCATCTCAGAGAACATAATAACTTCAGACAGATACATGAGGATTTTCAAATTCATATAGAAAGCACACATACTTATCATCACTTCCTTGAACTGATATCAAATTACATGTCCTTACAACTGCCACCACTCTGTTATGCTGGGAATAGCTGTGTAAACAGCAACGAAGCTGCGGTATCATCCAGAGATAACAGGTGGGATACAGGCATGTTGGTTTCGGCAGCACATGTTAATAAAAGAGTTTTGACAAAGCATTTTACTGGACTCTGCCTTAAACTTGTTTATTGTTGTCTCAAGCCCCACAGATGTTTGCTCTGCCATGCGTAGGATGTAATGGGGAAAAGAGAGTTCAGCTGGTGAAAGTCTATGTGCTTGCAGGTTTTAAAAGCTGCAGGGAAATAACCAATGATAATCCCTACTCTTCAGGTTCGTCCCACACTTCAAAGGTATTGATTGCAATTCACCCCATGATTATTGCATGAGTGGCATCAAATGCAGCCTTAGACACAATCATGCTGGGAAGAAAAGGCAAGGCTGGTCCAAACCCAGGGGAGTGCTGCAACACTTCCTTGTGAGACCTGCTGAAAATTACACTGCATTAAGCAAGGGAAACAAACAGTAAGAAATGCTTCTGCTTTTGCAGGCAAAGAAATATGGGGATGCCTTGTTCAAGACAAAGTGTTTCTTCCCCTTCTAAATTTCTGAATTTTGTATCTGGCCCCAGAAGAGTGACTAGATATCTTATGAACATCTTTTTTCCTCTTTAACCTCAGTGAATAACTCAGGCAGATGCTGAGACAAACTAACCTAATTTCTGCTGGGACCGTAGGAGGGGTCTGTAGAGGCAGCAAGAGTCTAGTTGTCTGAATTATCTAAAACGCTAACATGCAAAACAGAGAAGATAATTCTGCAGAGAGCAATCCCACAATAGCCCAATGGTTGAAAGCATAACCAGACAGTTTTCATCAATAGTCACAATGCAATGAGAAGTTTCTAAAACGTCATTAACCGAAGAAAGTAATCTGATAGAGAAGACAGACCTGTAGTTCTGCTCCTAGCAATGTTCTAGTTATGTTTAAAAGGATAATAACAATAAAAAAGAAAACAAACATATACACACATGGAACGTGTCATGTAGGAAAAAAAAAATATATATATAAAAAATGACTAAGCACTGCAAGTCAGAGTCAGTTTTGTGGTCAGCTGCAAAAGTTACTTGGCTCTCTGTCAGGGATAGCTGTCATAGTTTAACAATACATTGATCTAAAAATGACAAGAACTTGGTTGCAGCCTCTTTCATGGAAGAAACATAAAACAAGAAGAGTCAAAACATATGTAGAGCAGCTTGATAATCTTTGCCAGAACTCCTCCTGCTACTACACAAACGTGAAGTAAAATTCTGGAAGGCCTGAGAAATGAAGACATTCTGACACATCTGCCCGATGCCCTCTGACCTCACCGCCTCTGTTTTGCATTGGATCTGGGTTACAACCCAAAGGGTACACCTGAGACCCTGGACACACCTCTACTCCTGAAGGACTCACGGTTCCTCCACACTGCTTTGAATGCTGGGCATATGGCAGTGAACCTTTCTTCCCCTCTTGAAGATATCCTTTTGGCTGGGGTATTTGGAAACCACTGACAGCCCTCTGAACTCAGTTAGAATTGCATTTTGGCAAGAGCTGTTTTTCCGATTGCGTAATTCAAGGTTAGCAGTTTTACTGAAGCAGTCCACTCTTCAGTCTTCTGCTCCCCTAGCCCCACCCCCATTTCCCCTGATAGGAATATTTTCCCTTTAAGTTTGTTGCCTGCAGAAATAGAACCTGTGTAGAACAGCAGAGGAGTAGTGCTCAGGCACATCTTTTCATATTCTTGCCTTTCTTTTTCCAAGTGAACTGAAGGACCAGTCTAAAAAAAATGTGGACTGCAAGGAGAAGCTTGCTCCTTAGTTCTTGCACCTAAGAATTAGAAACACACTGATGGACAGAGTGTCTGGTATCTTTGTTCTCTTTGGTGCCGACAAGTAAAAAAAAAACAGGCAGCTGCCCAGT